GTGACAATGGCACATTAATAGTGAATCTTTTGTCTTCATCTTCCTCTCCACTTCATTACCACACATTGTCTATCTCTACCACTGCAGGCAGTAAGTTTCAATAGTGAATGTTATTTTGTCTTCATCTTCCTCTCCACTTCACTACCACACATTGTCTATCTCTACCACTGCAGGCAGTAAGTTTCAATAGTGAATGTTATTTTGTCTTCATCTTCCTCTCCACTTCACTACCACACATTGTCTATCTCTACCACTGCAGAGAGTAAGTGACAATGGCACATTAATAGTGAATGTTTGAACTACTTTTGTCTTCATCTTCCTCTCCACTTCACTACCACACATTTGTCTATCTCTACCACAGCAGAGAGTGAGTGACAATGGCACATTAATAGTGAATCTTTTGTCTTCATCTTCCTCTCCACTTCACTACCACACATTGTCTATCTCTACCACTGCAGGCAGTAAGTGACAATGGCACATTAATAGTGAATGTTTGAACTACTTTTGTCTTCATCTTCCTCTTCACCTCACTACCACACATTGTCTATCTCTACCACTGCAGGCAGTAAGTGACAATGGCACATTAATAGTGAATGTTTGAACTACTTTTGTCTTCATCTTCCTCTTCACCTCACTACCACACATTGTCTATCTCTACCACTGCAGAGAGTAAGTACAATTTATCTTTTGTCTTTATATCACATATCTACCACTGCAGCAATTGTAATGCCGCCGCGCCACCTTGTCTTGATGTGCAGTTGGTAAGCTTATGATGTCCCTTTCCTTATGTACAATGTTGTTACTTTATTGCCCTTCAGTGTTGTCGTATATATCCATGGCCATAAGACATGAAAAATAGACACTACAGTATTAGACCACATTATTGCATATACACTACAATGATATAAAATTGCTGTTTGATTTTCTTGTTGCACTCTCATTTGCAACATCATTGTGCTGTAATATTGGGGGCGGGGCTTGAGTCGCATGATGTTGACCACTCCCACCACCGACCACACCCATCCTGCGCAGCAGACTAGGCGGGGCATTCCTGAACCTCTGTCCGACAGCCAGTAGCCTATTGGTAACCTGTGACCCCTGCTGTGGCTGGGAAGAGGGAGGAGCAGCAGTTATAGTTTCCTCCACTGTAGCAGAGTCCCCTGTTCCTCCAATGTCAGGTCCACCATCAGAGGGTATGTCGTGAAGGTGAGGTCTTATTTGCCGGAGAGGAACCTCCAGTGATTGGTGGGTCTTCTGCTGCCCCTGATCTCGACGAACCCTGCCCAGCAGTTTCCCTCTCAGCTGGTTGAGTCTTCCTCCTCCCTCTCCCCGTGATGAAGATGATGATGGTTTACTCGATGCCATTTCAGGCTGCGAGCTAACGAGGTGGGTGTGGTCATATACTGTCCCCAGTCCACGCCGGGGTAGTGGTTCAGTACCAGAATCGGACCCGGAGTCCAGCGAAGGCATCGTCTCAAAGGCAAAGTTTCTTGCCCTGACGTGTCCACCAGGATGATCGTGGTCGGCAGTAGTGATGGAGGGAGGAGGTGAAAGACTGTCCTCGTTGTTGACACTGGAGATGATGTCATCGAAGCTCTGACTGCGAAGTCGTTGGATCCTGTGAGTTGGCACATGTCTCTTAGGCAGAGTAGGAGAGGCTGGCATTGAGAGAGACTGCTCTTTCTCATCCTCTTCTTCTTCCTCTTCCTCCCACATCTCTCCCTCCTCGACTGAATCTCCTCCATCTCCCCCCTTAGCCTTGTTAGTTCTTGACAAGAGGGTGTCCTCCCACGCCAGCTCTTTGGGCATCACTAGATATATGACTCCCTGGTGGACTGGACCTTTCTTCCTATGACCAGCACACAGAGGACCTCTACATTCTATATACTGTTACTGCTGCTGCTGCTATACCAAGGCTCCTCAGCCCATACTGTATAATGAGGTGTAGTACTATGGCTATAAGGTAAGGTAAGGTCTCTTAGTTGAAACGACTTTGTCCTACTAAGACATTAGCATGGGTATCTACTAATGTTGTAGTAAGGTGTATGTAACTGCAGGTTTAACTCACTTGGTAAGCTTTTGCTCCTGTACCAAGATGTTAGTACAGATGCTGGAGAGGGTACTGGCAATACTCAGCAGAATATCTGCACACAAGAGATACTCTACATCACCCACATACACCCTACTACTAGTACCAGTAATGTACTACAAGGTTACCTCTGTCTTCTTCCATGGAGGTGAAGTTGACGGTCTTGAGAGTGAAGTAGCACTGTTTGGAGTCCATGAGAGTGTAGTAGAGACGCATGTGCAGCCTCTTCTGAGAGCTCCGCAGGATGGTACCCAGTGGACCTGTGGCAGGGACACAACCAGCATATTACGACTCTGTATACACTCTTAGTAAGGAGCTAACTTCAGCACCAGTACGTAGCCACCTGTAAAACACTGCTCACCAATGACTATCTTCTTGACCTTCTCCATGGGAATACGAATGAAGCAGTTCACCTGATCATCCTCCACATTATAGCTGTACACACAGAGAGAGACCACACATGATACGTAACACGAACCTCAATCCTGTGGTGCTACTTAGATACACATTGTTGGCACTACATAGAATCTTAACCATGATGCACCAACACACACTATAGCAAGAAGCATCACAACTTCATGGTTTTATGGGCCATTCGCAAAGTTATTAAAGTTCCCACTATAATACTGCTTGTGTGCTTTTTACTATGGAACGCCTATATACACATTAGTCATACTAAGATCCTCAGACCTGGCCATGCAGAGCTGGTTCTGCTCCCTACACTGGAGGACCACACAGTCCTCCTCTTTCCTCGAGCCCTCCACGAAGCTGTAGCCGGCGGCCTCCACCAGTGCCCAGCCCACCACCGTGAGGGTCTTGGTGGGAAACAGCTCCTCGCGACACAGCTGGACCATCTCCGCAATGGCCTGCTCTCTGTCCAGAGACCACAGCTCCTCCTCCACTGCCTCCTCTTCCTCCTCCTCCTCCTCACCTCCTCCTTTGCCTCTCAGAGAGGGTGGCAGTGACGAGAAGGCTTCGCTGTGGGGAACCCCTTGCATCAGGTCTGTTGATGAAAGAAACAGTAAGTATCAGGCTTACTCCTACTGTCAGTAGAGAAGGCCTAAAACCATATGTACACTGGGGCAGAAATAGACTGTGCACACTTTGGTACAGTGCATGCACCACTTTCATTTTGGGTCACACATTCTGAAAAGGAGTGAGGTCTTACCTATCAGTACTTGTCTGTAGCTGTCTCGGAACAGATTCTGATAGTACCTGCAGGACAGACGGTATAGACAGACTGCGAAATAAACTAGAGACCTTGAGAATGTATAGTCATATTATTATGACGGCTGACCGGTGAGCAGAGTTGTAGCCATCTTTCATCATTCCACTGAACTTCCTCTCACCATACCTCGTCAGGTCACCCTGGGAGAAACAAGAGCGTACACACACACACACTAAAAGATGAGAGAGAACATTGCATCCTTGTGCCACACATGGGTACATTTCAATGCCACAGGCCAATTCAGCTCTAGATGCTTATCAACTTAAAGTGTTTTTCTGTGCATTACATGTCCAACTGTGTGCCACACTCAATGTGTTAACCCTATGATAATCAAAATGTGGACCTTTGTGCTGCATTCTGAGGTGAATTCAACTTCATTGTACAGTGGTAAAATATTTCAACATGTGTGTTCAGGGACCTAGTTGGTTAACTGACCTTCATGGCAGCTGTGCCAGTGTACTGCCGACTGATGCAGTCTCCATTGTTGGCCCACATCAACTTGTAGGTGGTGAGCATCGCTCCGCTCAGGTGCTCGTCAAATGGAATTATCCCCAGCTTTTGCAGCTACACACACACACAATTGACACATTGTGTACACAGTCATAAACTTACACACGAGAGTACTCCATGTTGCATATTATAGTACAATTATACAAGTCCCTTTATCGCGTAACATTGAGTAGTATTGACCTTGTACACATACTATGGTAGAAAGTGACTTACAACGGACTGAAGGACCTCCTTACAGAAGGCAGTCTGAACCACGTTTGTTCTGTCAGACAGTCCATGCAGTTGACTCTGAACACCCCGTCCTGCCGACAGAGAGGGCCGGACGATACGTTGGTGTCTACCCTGGGAGAGAGAAGGAGGCATGGAGTGAGGTCTCTTCATCTCCTCTCTCTCTCTCTCTCCTCACCAGCAGAATTTGAATTTCTTGTTGAGGCTTCGAGTGGCAGTCACCAGACGCTGGATAGCTCCGTTTTGGTCGGCTTTGCTGAGAGAAAAACACACATAAACATTTTCACATCTGCAGCAAACTGCTGTGTGTCAGTGTGTGTGTAGTGTGGTGTGTGAGTAGACTCCACAAGTGTCTGTGGAAGTCAAAGGTGACGTAGGTTACGTTTGGTTCGTCCAGAGCAAGAACGTGTTTCTTGAACGCTTCTCCCAACACCTGACACAGAGGAACAGAGATTAATGGTACACTGCACTATATAGAGGATTCAAAAAGGGTTTTAGTCTGAACTAACTGCTTCTCTTCCAGACTGGTTTATGAGACTGGCGATGGCCTGTGAGTGGGGTAGCAAAGAGAAGTAAAGTGACAACATTTTCCATCCATATTTCACGTTAGCTGACCACATGATTGTAGAGCGAGAACTGCTCTTCAAAGTGCTTCTTGAATGCCTCCTGTGTCTCCTCTTCTCCTGCATACCACAAATTAATACGTAGTTAAATATAGATATGGAATATGAACTTTATGCACATGGCACATGGTTAATTTCAGGATTGCATACTGCAAAGAGTGCTTACTTCCTGCTAGCACATGTTGTAATGTGAGTAAATAACCTCTCTCGATGATTGGAGGCGGTCGGTACTTGGTCCCAGGCTGGGTCCAAAACACGGGAACGGACCCCCTCACTAGAACGTAGGAGGCGTGGTGTGACCCTGCCTGCAGGATCTGGAGAGACACACACAACAGGGGCAGTACACAGAACAGTGAGAGTGAGAGTCTGAGAAGTAGAAGACGTACCATTTCCGTCTCAACAAAGTTGGCCACTTTTCCCAGTGGGTCGACCCCTCTCCTCCTGTACCTCGTCCCTGGACACACACACACACACAATCATAATGAATTCTCCATATCACTCACTATTGAAAGGAGAAAATATTGCGCATTGATATTGGAAGTTGGTTAATATTTGGTGGGTATATATATGGACATTTCTATTGCAGTACCAAATGTTATCTACTGTATATACATGAAATTAGTGTTTTCTACTGCAAGGGAAAAGTTTCCTCCGTCGAAAGTTCAGTTAGCAATACAGAGGTTTGTGAGTTCACCTGCTCTGTGTCGACTACGGCGTGACACCAAGGCCAGTGTGAAACAATAGTCGTCGTTTTTGCCACCTTCTTCTGTCGGTTGTTCGTTCTCCTCTGTCTCCCCCACCCCTGTGTCCCCTCCTTCTCCGCTCTCCCCCGCCACACCTCTCCCCTCCCCAGACTCCCCACTCTCACACATCTCCCCGTCCTCTCCCCCTCGTCTCCCCACCACTGCCAGTCTCTCTCCATTCAGACCCAGCAGCCCTCTCCTGACCGTCATCATGATCCCTGCTCCTCCACCTCCCTCCCCCTCCTCCCGCCCTCCTCTCTCCGGGGAATTCGATCTCCTGGTCAGTTTCAATCTCTCCAGCAACGGGCGACGTCCCTTCCCACTCGCCCCTTCTGGTGACTTTTTAATGTCCGACGGCTCCTCTGAGAGCTGGTTTCTTACTTCACCTCTTTCTTCTCCATCTCTTGGTGGCTCATTCACACTGATAGTCAGCATCTGTCTGTCTTCTAGCTGCACACCTGACGAATCTTCACCACTTCCTCCTCCTCCTCTACCTCTTTCTCCCTTCCCCTCCTCCCTCTCCTCCCCACCACGACTATCACTGCTACTCTCACCCTCACTGTCGGTCTCATAGCCAGCTGTACAAAATGAAACAGAAATGTTTTACACGTGTATGTATCATTGGGTGAGTGTGTATACATGACATTGTAGTGGGTGATAGATACTCACAGCCTTCACCTCTGGAGCCGATTGGAGTTCCACCACCTCTCGCTACCAGCAGGTGGCTGGAGGAAACTGTAGCACCACACACACACAACAGTAGTTTCCAATACTCAGTTTAAAAATCGTTAGTCACTATAGCTCACACGTCACCCAGGAAAGATACCCTATACATGTAACAATAGACCATGCAAGAATTGAGTATGCTGGCCCTCTTTAGTAGCATTTTGCTCATCAATTTGAACTCGCTCACCATCTAGTTTGGGTGAGAATGTAATCATATCTCCCTTGTCTTCCTCCTCATCCTCCTCCTCCTCACCCTCCTCGTGAGCTCCCTCCTCTCTCTTCTCGCCACCTTTCTCCCCCAGCTCGCTGCTCTTCGCTCCCAGCGGCGGCTCTCTCTGGCTGGTCTGGAGGACGTTGGGAGGGTTGTTGGAGTGCAGGACAAGAGTGCGGATCTCCACGTAGCCCTGGACAACTGGCAGGATCCACGGCTCCACCAACACTCTCTATATATACAGAGGGAGATGTATAATCATAGAACACACAACGCCCAACTTGAGCTACCAAAGTCCGTAAGAAATTGGTCACATGAAATATTTTTTTGTGAAAACCAGGTGCTGGTATCTTTTCCATTAGTAAAAGCTGACATATGTGAAATGTCAGCAGATTCACAGCGCATTAACAGAATGAATAGCGCACAAACATACAGAAATATTGAGCAATTCAGGTGACTACGTGTACGTGGCCTTGGTTCGTTCACCAATTAGACTCTCTTACATGTGGAACACAATTACAGCAGGCACTAGGTGTATGTAAACATGAGACCTTCTATGAAACACTGAGTACAGTAAGTCGCTGAATTGTCAAGGGAGCATCTTGTCAGCAGTCAACCAGGTGGTAATACATGACATGTGCAGTATAATACACAGCTGTCCAGAGCTCCCCACATCTGTTTTTTCCCCTCTTGGCATCACATGGTCTAATACCTTCATGTGCAGTATAATACTAAATCCCTAACCTGACAAGTGATGTCGAGTAGATCTTGAAGCATCCACTTGTTCCAGAAAAACCTATCGTCAACCTGATAACAGACACACACACACACAACACGGTGATATCAATATGTCTGCCATGCCAAACAATCGTGCAATTGATAACATGTCATATGTCTCAACATTTACATCTACTGTGTTGTATAGGAGTTTGATACTCACGAAGCTGCATGCAATAAAAGACGGTATGCGTCAATGTTAACACGGTGTAAAGTACTGTGGAGCAAATAGAGAGAATATTGCCGATACAATATCCCCACAACACATCGTACAACATCTACTGATAAAACAAGACTAGCTAACCTCTCCAGAAAGCTTTCTTCCTAATGTTGTATACATACTTTCTCCCAGAAAGGTAGGTCAGAATTGTAGTTGTCGTCAGGAGATGAGTCAGAGGTGGCCGCAGGACCCATCTTTCTCTGCTGGGTGTGAGTGATGTCTCCTTCCACAGAGAAATAGAACGAGTGAGAGTCGTTAAACATTCTCAGGAGGGCCTGATGGCGGCAGGGGAGGGAAAGGGTTTTAACACTGATTGTGGTGAGAGAGGGAAGGGTTAAAACTAATGGTGAAGAACAGAAAGGGTTAACACTGATTGTGGTAAGAGAGGGAAAGTGTTAAAACTTATGGCGAAGAGTGGAAAGGGGTTAACACTGTTTCAGACAATCAGGGTGACAATGCGCACCCTTATGTGGTGGACAATGTGTCATATTGAAAAGGAACATGAGAACATGATGGGGGAGTTCAGACATGATTGCTGAGAGCAAACAATAGTGAAACAATACTTTCCACAGACTGGACAGCTGTGTACTATGGAATGTGTGGGGTGCCCACATCAGGCTGTACGTTAGAGTGCTGGCACACTCAAACACAAACAAGTCTCACTCAACCACATCCTGAGTGCCATTCGAATTGAGACATTCAAACGTTCAAAAACAAGGGATGGCTTCTTACTCACACAAAAAGAAAAGACCAATAATGTACCGCCTACACCATTCACAACTGTGACAGACACACTATACCTCCATCAGTCGCCTCTCCAGTTTGTCTTTCTCCTTGTCTTCTCGCAGTCTATTGCTACTCCCTCCAGGTCCTCCCCCTCCCCCTCCCCCTCCCCCTCCCCCTCCTCCTTCAGGTTTCCCCAAACTCCCCTTACGTCCAGGTGACGGAGAGGGATCTCTCAGACCCTGGTCCATACATTACATTACACAAGGTGGGTGAGGGAGTAAGGAGACGTAAAGTGAAAGTAGATCTACAATACTACATAATTATCACAGAGTGAATGGTAAGACAGGGAACGATGCACGAAGGGATAGTAATGGAGTTAGGGTTACAGAAACAAAATCCCAAGAGAGCAGGATTCCTCAGAAGCAAACGGCCCAGCAAATTCCTCATTAAAACACCACCATCCCACATCGCCACTAACATTCATGCACACGGCGACATGTACAGCATATAGCTACCCTTCACCATTCTTACATTATCTTTTACCATTCTTACACCTATAGGATTACAGCATAGAGCTACATCTTTGACCATTCTTACACTCTATATCTATCTACATACCCCCAATAGCTATCATCACACACCGTTCTTATACCCATAGATTTAGCTCCCGATAGCTAACCTTCATAGGACACGCTCTGTTTATTACAGTCACAGTAACTTCAATACGCACCTCAAGTCCGAGTATCTCGGGGGAGGAGTCTGTCGTTAGAGGGATAATGATGAGTCTCTGGATGCAGTACACCGGACCACAGAGAGGGAGGTCCCCAACAGACCTGACACCGCCAATCAGCAGCAGCTTCCACTCTGAGCCTGTGGTCGTGGTGGAGGCCTCATACAACACACAGTTGAACATGAAAGGGCTAAGTATCCTATAGCTGCATCTCCAAAGGGAAGTGAAGCATAAGAGAGTTTCGAGGAAGAAGACATACATAATGTTGTGTGATCTTGTGGTCAATATGTTCTTCACAGAACCAGTATAATGGTAGTAACTTCCATTATCTTGCCTATAATGTACATACATACGTACCTGAAAAGAACTGAATCTTCCCCACGAGACCATAGCATTTGCCAGGTATCGAGCTGACTGGAGATTGTCTGGGGTCACAACTACAGGGTAAATACATGAACGACACTTACAGCAATTGAAAGATACAGAGATGGATATTCAATAATGGGGCACGGGAACGGTTAACGTACTGCTTCCAGGCTTCAGTGAGCCGTCCCTGCGACTGCACCACAGAGAGCCAGCGCCCCTGCTCACGATGACGTGCTCGCCCGTCATGTGGATGTCGCACTGCAGCGCCTCCATAGTTCCCTGGTCTGCCACTGTACCAACACTTCGATAAGCGGTCTTCTCCTCCATACACAGACGAGACGCACGCAGACTAGACAGACTGCGTCGCACACTGCGGCTTTATCGCTCGCGGCCACAATAATAGTTAGTGGGAAACGGGTTAAATGGTGCTCTATTAACGACCCCAGACAAGATATTTTGATTTGGTTCGGCGTGTTGTGCTCTCGATCATCTCCTAGTCCTCTGGCGCTTCTCCTGACTTTGTCGTTGTGTGTTAGTGGCTGTAAGGATAATGGACAGAAGAACGTTCGAAAGATATTTGTACAAAGGGACTACTCGCGTGGAACTGGCGTGAGGTTCAGCACACTTCCCCAGAGAATCACAGGGAAAGTACGTAATGATTGCCCTTAACTTTGTGGTTGTGTCCCGTATCACTGACAAACATCCCACATCTGTGACACAAACACACTTCGACCAAGATCCCCCTCAAAAAGGTTATTCGGGAGAAGGGAAGATGATGATAAGTAGGAAAGAAGAGGGCAAAGGAAGGAAGAAAAACGGGATACAGATTGTACAGAAAGAAGGGGAGGGGATGAGATTATAGGAATGGGCATTAGAATGAGGGAGAAGAAAAGAGGGAAGAGTTGGCAAAATTGGAGAGAGCAATGGGGGCGTGCAAGATCAAAGAGAAGGCAAAGAACGAAATCATATGAGGTGTGTAAGGCTTGTGGAAGCGGCAAGGTAGAAAAGCTCCTCTACCCGTCTCTTTTCATTGTGCAGTGATTGAGTTAACACAAGCTGTGTAGCGAGGCCTCTGGCCACGAGACCATAGCATTTGCCAAGGTATCGAGCTGACTGGAGATTGTCTGGGGTCACAACTACAGGGTAAATACATGGACGACACTTACAGCAATTGAAAGATACAGAGATGGATATTCAATAATGGGGCACGGGAACGGTTAACGTACTGCTTCCAGGCTTCAGTGAGCCGTCCCTGCGACTGCACCACAGAGAGCCAGCGCCCCTGCTCACGATGACGTGCTCGCCCGTCATGTGGATGTCGCACTGCAGCGCCTCCATAGTTCCCTGGTCTGCCACTGTACCAACACTTCGATAAGCGGTCTTCTCCTCCGACACAGACGAGACGCACGCAGACTAGACAGACTGCGTCGCACACTGCGGCTTTATCGCTCGCGGCCACAATTAATAGTTAGTGGGAAACGGGTTAAATGGTGCTCTAATTTAACGACCCCAGACAAGATATTTTGAAAAAAAAAATTTGGTTCGGCGTGTTTGTGCTCTCGATCATCTCCTAGTCCTCCTGGCGCTTCTCTGACTTTGTCGTTGTGTGTTTAGTGGCTGTAAGGGATAATGGACAGAAGAAACGTTCGAAAGATATTTGTACAAAGGGACTACTCGCGTGGAACTGGCGTGAGGTTCAGCACAGACTTCCCCAGAGAACTCACAGGGAAAGTACGTATGATTGCTTCACTTTGTGGGTGTGTCCCAGTATCACGTGACAACATGCCACATCTGTGACACAACACACTTACGTACCAGACTCCACCCTCAAAAAAGGTTATTCGGCCAGCCAACATCTTTTCTTGGCAGTGGAGTGAGTTAACAAGCTGTGTAGCGAGGCCTCTGGCCAGCCTCCCCTTTTATGGTCATCACACACAGCCACAGCATTCGTTGCTTTATTGGGATGAGTCTCTTACCAGAGGACACTCGTCATTGTCTCCAACATTTTAGAGTAGTTGTCAAAGAAAAACAAAGGCTTTATGAAGAAAGAAGTATTGTCGTAGTGTTGTTGCCTGCCTTTCCAGTTTGCCTTAGAACCTCACCATACACAACACTGGCACCGCTTCACCCTCTCTTTGAAGGTAAAGCTATAGTTGAGCTGGGTGTGCTCCAGTTACTTGCCAGTAGATAAGTTTCATGTCCTCCTAGTCTTTACATGTACAACTAGTGCTGGCTTCTCCCGTTGTTACCATGTACAGTGCCTGCCTTGAGAGACTCTGTTGAATGTGGTTCACAAAGGTTTCAAAGATAGTGTTTAATTCGGCCCTAGAGGCTTCAAAGACCCAGCCTTTGTCATCTCCTTGCCCCCTGACACATGTAGCCATGTTTCTGCGCCCATTGGAATGTACTGGAATTCTCCGCTCAGCATCATGTTTCTCTACAATTTAAGCCTCTGGCTCAAGTTTATACTTGTGTATCTCTGTGTGTATGACTCATAGAGGCACCATTGATTACTGCCACAAACATCATTTGCCCTGTCCTGTCCTCCCAGGTTGATGAGACCACGTACCGCACAACCATCGAGAATGTCAACCAGTGCTTTGACGAGGCCGAGGCGCTGGGTTGCTGCAATGTCCTGGAGGGCTGTCTGGCCTGCATGACTGGCTTTGCCCTCCACTACTGCTTCAAGACACACTACGAGAGAGTAAGCTATTGCCTGTGTGAGACTGGGGTAAACAGATCACACTGTATGTATGTTCTTGCACGGCTATTATATTTAAGTGAACCGGTAAAGCTATAGAGGTAGTTAACTTTGTTAGCCAGTGGTCGTAGCCCAAAACTTGTGTCTAAAGTAACAAGACGCCTTGACTGAGTATGTTTTGCCGCTTTATGCTGGTGTGTGTGGTTTGAGAGTGTGTACTTAGCTAACTGGTTTTCTGCCTCATTTGGCCCACGCTTGCCTTCCTGTGAATGCATGAAGTAACATCGACAATTGTGGGCCTGTTTCGCTCCCACTCTTTGTATACACTCTGTTTTTTTCCTTGTCACACGCCCTGTGACGCAGCTAGTTAATTTGGCACACCGAGTACCGACCAGGGCCCAAGAAGGAGTGAGAACTCAGTGTCGATTGGAACAGTGGCTTGGCTTAAGGGTTTTGATAAGCCGCCAGTCGTCACCTGTGCCAAATGTATTGCTCCTCGAACTTCAAGATTGATGTACAACATAATTTGATTTCCCTTTGTCACAGACCTTTGTGTTATTTGACTCTACAAAAGTATGCGCATAATGGTCCAAGTAGAGTTATCTTCTTTACTGCCTGCAGCCAAGTAGCTAGTTAGTGTGTCTTTCCCACTCAGTGCGTGCAGGATGCTGCCAAGTACATACAGCAACAGAACAGGGAAGTGTACGAGCAGAGGGGGATAATCCTGGGGGACCCAATGGACAGGGGCCTCAGATGTGTATCCACTCTTTACTCTCACTAAACTCCGTGTAGATATGTACCAACCTGTACTCGGTTTTGCCACAAACTTTAGTGCCACCCCGTACTATGTATAGCTCTGTTGAGTTTTTATGTGTTGGTTCAGTATGGCCAATAGCTAAGCTCCAGCTCCCTTAGTCATATTGCATAATAGCTATAATTATACTAGCTATATAGCTGTTTCTGTAAGGTATATATACCTTGACTCATCATCAGATTGAGGTCCAGATTATTCAAGAAGCGAGACGCAACTGAAGGAATACAACGTGCAATGATGCATATAATTCGACGACTTTCATGTTTCTTAACGTGGTGCTGTAGTGTAATCGTGCTAATGCAAACGAACGGTGCTAGTAATTGACACTCTTGCCACGTAAATTTCCTGTGATTTTTATTCTCCAATCCATAATCACAAATCTACTAAGTTTCAATAACTTTACAGTGAAAAGACTAATAGTTCATGATAGAAGTTATGTAGCTATGGTATAAATGGGAGTTAAATCCTAGGGTGTTCATCTGGTTGCTTGATACTGCAACTCTAGGCCTTCTAAACGTCACGGTCCACATCGTGAAGAACCACGCATCATGACTGGAAACTGCATGATACATACGAATATGTTACTAGTGGAATGGTAGTGCTATTTAGGTACATGCTGGACAAACCAACAACCACATGCATGTATGTAGCTATATTGATACATGTGCACAAAGGGATATACCCGAAAGGATGGCGCGAAAGGCTCCAGCAACTCGAGAGCAAACCAGTCAGGGATATATCGACATCCAGATTTCATTGCCTGTTTTATATTGACTCTATAATGTCCTCCATTATGAAAGAGATCATCCCAGGGGGCTGATGAACAGCACACTGAGAATCCGTCTGGATACGATTTGCTATTTAACAAAATAACAGGGGGGGCACTGGAGCTAGTTTAGGTATTCTTTGTAGTATGATCGATCACTCTGTACTGATAGGATACGATAGCTCCAAAGATCATGCTGAAGGGTTTCCAGAACGCAGCATGCAGCAGCCCCGCGACCACTGCACCGACTCCGCTGAAGACGGTCATCCAGTATATGTAGGAGGGCGGTTCAGCACGGTCGTTTGGGGTCTTGGGAAAAGTGAAAATGTCTCCGGCCTCATCTCTGCAAATTTTCGTGCAAAAATGCAAACCTTGAGGGCAGAGGGTCTTTTTCTTACCCGTCCTTGACCTTTTCCACCTTTTCGCTGCCGATTCCGAAGCCCTCACAATCAGGAACAAGCGCTGGGCCTTCAAGATGTGAAGATGTGGCGCAATCCTGAAGAGAATTGTCTGCAACATTGGCCTCAACTGTAAGCTATTGCCGAGCAACTCACCCTCTGCGCGAGACCTGGAAACACTTTTATGGCCATTTTACTGCTGTGTAGAAGAGGTGATGCGAAACGATGGGCCGTTGTTGTGCCCCAGCTATAAATATCCCGCTGCATTGAAACTGAGCATGCGTACTAGAACGAGAGTGCGGGGCGCATGCGCAGTAATCTTACCGCGCATTTGAGCCACAACACCTACTCCTACCGCTGAGACTCCAGTTGTCGAACGCGACAGTACACGACGCAGATGACGGGAATTAACATATTCACAGTTTCGCCATTGCGCTCGCTAGTCAGTTGTTTGTCACAGTGGCTTCTACAAGCTAAGGGGGTTCCTAAGACACGATGGCGCATGTGCGCGTGGACCTGACGGGCAAAAGATCCGTGGAAGAGCCCTTCGGGATGAGGCTACTGCTCATAGACACTCGACGTTTCGTCCGTAGCTAGTGTTCGCGCTGTCCGGTGTTGATACGCTGACGCGCCGTTTCGCGCCGCGGTAGGTTGACAAACGTTGAACCAACTTAGTTTGCCTGCTCATAAAAAATTATATCAATCAACGCGGCCAGCTGTTGCAGCACGCACGTGGGCTGCGCGAGTTGGGTCGGGTATCTATCTATACGACACCGACCTCAGATATGCTAATGCCGTTTGTACTTTTTTGGATCCAGCTAACGTCGCTTGTAAATAATCGCGAGGGTTAATTGCTAAACCTCGTGTGATTATAGCATTCGACGCACGACTTTAGCCAAACACCGCATCACTTTAGCTAAACTCTTTAGCTAAACACCGCCTCGACAGAAAAAACACGGCTACATATGTCAAGGGGCAAGATGACAAACATTGGGTAGTCTTTGAAGCTTCTAGATGAGCCACATTATACACTGTCCTTGAAACCTCTGTAAACCATATTCAACAGAGTCCTCTCAACTGAACACTGTCTCGGTGACAATTGCAGTTGCAGAAGCCAAGCACTGTAAATCAAACTTAGAAAGGACTTGAAACGTATCTACATGGCAAGCCAGTGGAGCACACCCAGCTCAACCATTCAGGGCGGGGGCAGAATAGTTGAGCAGAATAGTTGAGCAGAATAGTTGAGCAGAATAGTTGAGCTGGGTGTGCTCCACTGGCTTGCCATGTAGATACGTTTATGGTCCTTTTCTTTTTCTTTCTTTCTGCCCCTGAATATGGTTTATGCAGAGGTTCAAGACAGTGTATAATGTGGCTCATCTAGAGCTTCAAGCTACCCAATGTTTTTTCATCTTGCCTCTTGCCCCTTGACATATGTAGCCGTGTTTTTTTCTGCCTGTGGATGTAGTCACTTTTGCCAATAGTTAGAGCTGTAGTCTCATCTACAAATCTACCTTTTTTCTCACTGCAGAACCTGAATGAGAGTGATGGGCTTTATCTGATGGCTTGTTGAACACAGCCCATACGAATGTATAAATGTGAGAAACAGGCTATCAAATAATCCCAACAACGTATGTGAGCAATGTGAATTACAAGCATACACTGCCCGTGTAACTTCAGAACTGAAAATGTATAAGAGTGAAACTCTGTATGGAGATAGAGAAATGGTATGGCAAGCCAAGGGCACAAATGTCCATTGAGTTAAGTGCGGAGTTAGGGCCCTTTTCGCAGAGCATGTCAGCCGCAATGCTCCAACTGTGTGTAGAAGTTTCAGTAGCTATAGATATGACCACCATCAGCCGAGCCAAATTGTTCGAGAAAGCAGGACACAACATGAGGAATACAACAACATGCATCATTAACAGACATTTGTGTTTTTTACGTGTGCCAAATTTTCTTGTGCCCACGCCAAGACGAACAGTATACTACGTGAGCTTTGATGTTGCTTTCATCTTATATACCTTTCAGTAAAAAAAAGCAAAATGTCCGATTGAGTGAGACATGTCTCAGCAGGACTGAAAGGAAGGCATGGAGGTTTGCGTGCAGGAGTGCTACGCCATCGGACGTAAAGCCAAATTCGGACTAAAAGAGATATACTAAATGACACTGGTGGTATATATAAGACTATGACAGGAAAGTTAGGATATGGGAGTTCAAATCTGTTGCTTGCTTTGAGTTTGCAGTCAAATGTCACCTCCGCATCATCGAGAGAACCACAGCAATCATGACCGAGTCTGCATGAATATAATGCATTATGTGTGCGACTGTGAACGGTAGGTCGTATTGGTATAAATGCTGCACAAAACCAACCGCTGCAGTGTACTGAAGACTAATAATAATGTACGTAGTGGAATGGTAGGTTCTATTAGTATAAAGCTTGCACCGCCTGCAGTGTATGAATCTATAATAGATTACTAGTGGGACTGGTGGTTCTAATTAGTATATGCTGGCCCGCCTGCAGTGTATGAAGCTATAATAATATTACGTAGTGGAATAATGGTAGGTTCTATTATGTATACAACTAATGCTGGCAGGCAACCGCCTGCAGTGTATGAAGCTATATAGAATTACGTAGTGGAATGGTAGTTTGTTCTATTCTATAGGTACAGCTGGGGCAAGCCACACCACATGACGTATGATTTGTATGCTATCGATATTGATACAGAACACAAGCTTCCATGTGTCACTATACTGGAATGCCTACTCCAGACGAGGATGGCCATAAAGGCTCCAACAACTCGAGAGCAAACCAGCAGAGATTCAACATTATCATATAATTGCTGTTTATCTGACTCTGATGATGTGTCATTGTAGTAGAGGAGCATGCCCAGGGAGCTGAGGAACAGTACACTGAAGAACGCTGTCTGCTATGATCAGCTAGTTAACATAAAATAACAGGTGTAGCTATGCTATATTAGTACTACCAATTGTTCTGTACGGATCGGAGACGATAGCTCCAAAGAGCATGCGGAAGGTGTGCCAGAAGGCAGCAGCAGCAGCCCCACGACCACCGCACCGACTCTCCGCTGAAGATGGTCATCCGATACAGGTAGGAGCGGCTCAGCGCGGTCGGTGCGTACCAGCGGGAAGCGAAAATGTCGCCACGCAGCCCATATCTGCACTTTTGCATGCAACATGCAACCGGATGGCAGAGGGTCTTTTCTATTTGACTTACCGACCCTCGACATCTCCACTCTTCGCTGCGATTCCGAACCAATCACGATCAGGAACCATAGCGACTGGCCGTCAGATGATGAGACAAGCGCAATCTGAGAGAATGTCTGGCAACAATGCCTCTACGTAAGCCATTGCCGAGTCAACTCACCCTCCCGCGAGACCTGGAAACACTCTATTGCCATTTTACTGCTGTGTGGAGAGGTGATGCGATCGAAGCATGAGCTAGTTGGGCGCAATCACATCTCCCGCGCATGAAACTGGGCATGCACTGAGTGGCGTAGACAGGAAAGTCGGGTTACTGTTAGCTAAATGGGCATTTGTAGAATTTTACCCAAGCGCGCCCCCATAAAAATTGGCTTCTGGGACGTAATCTGGTGCAATTAGCTATAAGGCCAAGTAATTTCTACATAATTTTCATAGAAACTGGCGCTTCGCCACTTTGTATACGTTTTTTTTTTGTTTTTTTTTTTTTTTTTTTTTTTTCGTTTTTTGTTAACGTTTACTTTTTTTTACTTTTTACGTGTTTTTGTTGTTTTTTTTTTTTTTTTGTTTTTTTTGCGACCCGGCCTCCTCCGGTTTTTTTTCATTTGTTTTTGTTTTTTATTTTTTTTCTGTTGTTTATTGTTTATTGTTTCTACCCCCCCGCCCCCCCTTGTTTTTTTTTTGTGGTTTTTCACTTTTTATGTTCCCCCCGCGCGCGGACCCCCGCCCCCCCGCCCTGTAGCTCCTGTCCGCTCTCCAAGCGCATTTGATTCCACGCTTGCGCGCTGCTAAGCAATCCGCGCATAATAGGGGGGGCCCCCCCCCCCCCCCCCTGACTGAGCTTTGCCCGGCCCCCCCCATGCTCATGCATGGGCATTCGCAGTAAAACTACTGCGCACATTCGAGCCAACACATCCTACCGGTACCCTACCTCCCTGTCAATCGTCGCGGCTGCGTCTGGTCTCGGAGACTCGAGTGTCGACGTCGACATGGCGGGAAGAACTTCTAATCGATTCTCTTGATCATTGTATAATGTGCATGTTAATCGTCGAGGGCGGAGTAAATCACGCACAACCGGCAAATTTCGACAACTGACAATCGCTCTGACTTGACGACAGTTTGCCATTCCGCTCTGCTCTCCAAGCTCAGAGCCCTGGACGTGCAGCTGATCGTTACGTGCACCGACGACACGACCGCCGCGCAAAGAGCAGCCGCGAAGCGGTGCTGAATTCGCTGGCCAAAAGTAGAGTTTGTATCTCTGACAGGACAAGCGTCCCGAGTGTGTGTCTTCGGGGGCTGGGACATAGTGGGAACTATGGGGCGTGGTGGCATCTGTTCTGCTGTAAAGAAATGGGGTGTGTCACAAGAGAGAATGACTAAGGGATTTAGAGGGGGGGTGGTGAGTGTGAGGGTGAGGGGTGACCGTGGGGTAGATGGGGGTCAAGCGTCTGAAACACGGTGGGGTGGGGGGGGGGGGAAGTGAAGTGTGGGGACAAACAGGGGGGGGGGGGGGGGGGGGGACGCGTGGGGGGGGGCTGTTGGGTCGCGAGAGTAACTGGGGGGTAGACGGGGCGTTGTTCGTCGTAGGTGATATGAGGGGTGAGTGGGCTGGGGGGGGTAAGGCATGTGTGGGTGGGGTCGGAAGACGACGACCAGATGGCAAAGATCATCTGCTCAAGACAGGGGTGGATATCATTGCCATGGGCCATGCCAATTTTCCCCCTCTCCTGCAAGAACATCCCGGGGTTGTGAAGATGCCTCGATCAGACAATGCCGGCTCCATATACCGAGGCTATGACAACTCTACAAACACCGGCAAGAGATACAATGTCATTATGTGCCCCTATTGGGTGGGGGGAGCTGGGGTGGTGTGCTCGGGCACGGTGCGGGTGGGCTGGGGGGCACTTGAGCGTACTGCGGGGCGGGACTTGACGCATGGCAATCACCACACACCTCCACATGGTACTGGTGTGATGGGGCGCGTACCTCTTATTGCAGGCCTCAAATAGCTGGAGCCGTGCCCTGAGCTCATCGGGTCTTCTCTACTTCTTTCTGCACTGTCCTCCAATTCAATCTAAAACGAGGCCACCAGCCCTCTGTACGATACTTTGCCACCCTCCTCACAGCTCCCCTACTGCCGGGAACTTCATCAATACAACATAAATTCCAACAACAGTATTAAACAAATCTCTCAGAGTCACTAGCGATGGATATACAGTGATAGATGACCGGGAAGGCACCCCAACCCAGGTTCGCTCTCTACTGGAACAATACCGTTGTTGGTCCTAAACCAGTACAGGTGGTGGAGTGGGGTGTGTGTTGTGTGGGGTGGGTTGGTGGGGTGGGCAGCGTGGGGGGGGGGGTGCGGTGTTGTGGGGGGCTAAGTGCATAGTGCTGAATATTTACATTTTGCGGTATAAACCCATTTTGCGAATCCACAAAAAATTAAATTCATCACGCGTTTTCCGGTGGCTGATGAAAGAGTGGGGCGGATGGCCCAGCTGAATTTTGTCCGTTGAACGCAAGCCTGTTGCGTGTCTCAATATCCCAAGCGCTTCCTCAGGTATGCCGTAACCCGATCCGTATAAAATCTCTTGCCCGGATCCACCTGAGACCAGATTCTGGGTCGTGGGGGCATAACATTACTGTGAGAGCCTCGTCCCTTATCAAGTGTCTCTTACCGCTGACTTTTCTGCTAGCGCCCCAAGGCGCGTTCTCTTCCGCTCGCCTCCGCTCCTCTGGCGAAGCGACAGTCGCCGACTCCCGTCATCATATACGGACCATCGGTTCTCCTATATTGACACAGCTTGCATTAGCGTTCGCCTAACATCGAGCGAGCGGACAATCCAAGCTGCTAGTGACGGCCACACGACACACGGATGCGGGGCCAAGATAGCGGGCCAATTTTTCTGGCGGTCGCGGGGGCGAGAAGCCATCCCAATAGGAGTGTGAGCGTGCCTCAACAGCAACCTAACCAGAAGCCCGGGAAGTGTGTGTGGAGAGGGGGGGGGGGGGTGGGGGCCCTGTGGACTGGGCAAAAGACTGGTGTGGGGGTCGGTGCGGCTGGGGTGGGCGGGGTGAGGTGGTGGGTAGTGGTGATCGTGTCGGGGGAAGTGCTGCAAACTACGAAGACACTTTTGACAGAATGAACACATCATCAACAGTTCTGATCAGGTCGTCGAAATCATTCGGGTTCGCTCCCTTTGTAATTTCCCCTACCTCCTGGAAAAGTGGCCCATGTGGGGTGTGGGGGCAGTGGCGGGGGGATGTATGGGTGTGGGTGGGCGGGGGCGGGGGGGGGGGGGTCAGAACCATTGCTGGTGTGTGGCGGTCAAGGGGTCGGGGTGGGGTGGTCGCGGTGCGTGGGGGGGGTATGGACAATGGTGAAGTGACACCCCAACTGCCGAATACACGCAGAAACTTGTGTCCGTCCCTGCGTCAATCGGTCCTACTCTCCGGCAAAACTGGGCGCAGCACAGTATGGCTCACCCTCCTTTGGACAAACTGTTCGGGGTATGAAACTTGCCTCCAAAGATAGTCCATGAACTGGTGACTGCCTCAAAATGGGCTGAGTATCGGTCTGACTCTGAGCACACTTCTCTCTGGTGTCACAAGCGGGGGGGGATCCGTGTCACCGGGGGGGGGGGGGGGGGGGGGGGGGGGGGGCTTGGGGTGGGGGGGGTGGTGGGTGGGTGGGGGGGGGGGGGGGGGGGTGACCTGGTTCGGGCAGTGCTGGTGGGTAACAGTGAGGTTGTGGGGTGGGGGGCTCTGCCGGGGTGGGGGGGGCGACACAGGTGTGTGGCATGCCGGGGCGGGAGGTGGGGGGTGTCCTCCTACTCCTTCAACTGCGGGTGGGGGCGGGGGGCGCGTGTGTGGGTCGGGGGACCGGGGGGTGTGGGGGGGGGGGGTGGGGGGGGGGTGGTGTGGGGGGGGTGGGGGGGTGGGGGTGGTGTGGGGGGGGGGGTGGGTGTGGTGGGGGGGTGGGGGGGGGGGGGGGGGGGGTTGGGGGGGGGGGGGGGGGGGGGGGTGGGGGGGTGGTGGGGGGGGGGGTGGGGGGGGGGGTGGGGGGGGGGTTCGGGGGGGGGGGGAGGGGGTTGGCCCGGGGGTGGGGGCTGTCGAAAGAATGGCCGGGATGTCGGCCGGGGCTTATGCGGGGGTGGGTTGCGGTGGGGGCGCAACTGGAAAGACGCCCGCACAAATTTGACACTATGGGTGCTGCAGGGCACTAGGGGCCCTCAATTGGTGGAAAACCCGCGGGTCTCAATAGAATTCACACATATTTGACCCGATGTCCTATGTCCAGGGTGCCCCATACAACCAAGGACTAAAAGATACATGACATCCTAAAAGCGCTGGGGGGAGCGAGCTGGGGTGGGGGGGGGGGGAGGGGATAGCTGGGGCACATAAACACCTCTCCGTGTGCGCATAGCGATATTGCACAATGCGGGGGGTCGGGGGGGATGGTGCAGTGTTGATAGTTAGCGCAGTGTGTTGTGTGATGATGGTGTTGCGTGGGTTCTGCATACAAAGTCTCCAGATTGAAGGCGCGGTGGAGGGTGGTTGCGGGGTGGGTTTTTCGAGTGTCACGAAGAGGGGGGTCAAGATTATTAGTGTCAACTAGATGTTTTGGAGTGAGAATAATTACCTCCTATTCCAAAACCATAGCCCTACATTCTGTGTTACGTCATCAGAAAGCATCCACCTGCATACTAGGCCTCCTTAGAACACATAAGTACCAACTTAGACTATAACTATAATAGAACGAATTGTTTGGCAAGTGAGAGTTCATTTAAGAGTGACATCAATTTTTTCTAGTTAGTGCAGCATTGAAAAAAGAATGCATGTATATACATAATGTGGTGAGTGTAAGACTGTGGGACAAACGATAATCACGCGGGGGAGGGGGGGGGGGAGGACGGGGTTGGGGGGGGGGGGGGTGGAGGGGGAGGTGGGGGGGGGGGTGGGGGGGGGTGGGGGGGTGGGGTGGTGGTGGGTGGTAGTGGGTGTGGTGGGGGTGGGGGTGGGGGGTGGGGGGGGTGGGGGGTGGTGTGGGGGGGGGGGTGTGGGGTGTGGGGTGGGGTGGGTTGGGTGGGGGGGGGTGGGGGGGTGTGTTGGGGGGGGGGGGGGGGGTGTTGGGGAGGGGGGGGGGGGGGGGGGGGGGTGGGGGGTGGGGGGGGGGGGGGGGGGTGTGGGGGGTGGGGGGGGGGGGGGGGGGGGGGGGGGGGGGGGGGGGGTGGTTGGGGGGGGGGGTGGGGGGTGGGGGGGGGTGTGGGTGGGTGGTGTGGGGGGGGGGGGGGGGGGGGGGGGGGGGTGGGGGGGGGGGGTGGGGGGGGGGGGGGGGGGGGGGGAGGGGGGGGGGGGGGGGGGGGGGGGGGGGGGGGGGGGGGGGGGGGGTGGGGGGGGGGGGGCGGGGGGGGGGGGGGGGGGGGGGGGGGGGGGGGGGGGGGGGGGGGGGGGGGGGGGGGGGGGGGGGGGGGGGGGGGGGCGGGGGGGGGGGGGTGGGGGGGGGGGTGGGGGGGGGGGGGGGGGGGGAGGGGGGGGGAGGGGGGGGGGGGGGGGGGGGGGGGGGGGGGGGGTGGGGTGGGGGGGGGGGGGAGGGGGGGGGGGGGGGGGGGGGGGGGGGGGGGGGGGGGGGGTGGGGGGGGGGGGGGAGACTCACCCCTCATCTTCTTCTTTCCCATCTTCTATATATAATTATACAGGCTTCAGTGCCATTTACTACAACCACCCACTAGTTTCCTTACGCTACATGATCGTCCACAAAACATTCAAAAAGAGACTAAGCCTGATTTGTTTAACGAGGTGAATAGCAATACTGGTAGACAAATCTTAAACAAAAAACTCTAATACCACAGTTTTCCAGATAGAAGGTTCTGATCTTTTTTACTTTAACCTCACGACTTCGCCACCTTCTTCTTCTCGCAGCGGCGGAAGACTCTCTCCTGGCCGCAAGAGGCAGTGGAGTGAGCCAGAACCTGGCAGAGTAGAGACAAACAGGCAGAAGGATTGACGACGTGTATGGCGACAAGGACAACTGACCAGCACCAACCGCAGCCGCAGACACCCTGGTCTGTTCATAATCAATAAGACAGTATATAGGGGCGCCCCCCGGAATTTGTCGCCACCAGCAGCGAAGTATATCCTGCTGAACACGGAGTAAGTGATGGCAAACAGGACGGGTAGACGAAATGAGATCCTCACTGAACTCCAGCGAAGACACATCAATCAGAGCTAGTGACGGCATTGCCTAGATGAGTATGGATCTCACCAACTTGGTTTCAACCACAAACATTCGGGTGTGAGAGAAGGGCCCAAGTAGAGAATGCTCGCTGCTATTGCCAGTGTTAACAACTGCGCAATGGAGAAGAGCACCCACTGAAATCTTTGGTACAACTGCTAGCATCTGCCCTCCCGGCCACAGCACCCGACAGAAACATCAAGTCATCGATGTGTGGTATTGGGGACTTCAGCAAGCTCGTGCTAGTGGCTGTGTTGCCAGCATGGCTTGGGTGGAGGTAGACTAGGGCCACCTTCACTGTAGCTGAAACTGCTGAGACGATGAGGTAGGCATTCCACATGAGGTAGCACCAGTTAGTGAGGAAGATGAAGTACTTGACTCCACCATTGGTCTCGAGAAGGCCACTGGGTACCAGCCAGCCAAAGAAGTAAGCAGCCATGGCCCACCGGAACACCAGGTAGATCCATTGGTACTTGATCTCATTCGGTAGCCACTGCAGAGAGTATTGCACCGAAGTAGCTAGCTATGTAGCTAGCTATTGTATATTTTGTACACATTGCTTGTCTACTCACCGGGGAGAAAGCGAACGGCTTCCAGTCGCGGTAAGTCAGCCAGAAACGAGAGTAGTGAAACTCCCAGTACATGAATCGAGCGCAGCCATTCGTCGGCTCGCGGAGAGGCATCCCTTCCACACGTCGCGCGGCTCAAGATTGTCGAGAGAGGTGTCGGCAGGAAGAAGGCGCATGAGAGGTATTTGATAATTGACATGTGAGAATTCATCACAAATTGTCCAGGATCAACATTGGCTGTCAGCAGCCATGGTGTCTTTCCACGTGGAAGGCCTCCCTGGCCTCAGCTCTATACCATCATGCTCTGATAGTCTATAATACGCCCAGCAGCAAAAAAGACATACGCACTTAGTCTGTTGCTGTGTGTTGCTGTGAATAACGTTTCATATTATGGCTCAGCTTAACCTACAGTCTACTTGCAGACGTGGTGAAAGCACTGGTCAGTTACATACAATGTTACTGATATTGAATAATCACTGATGATTTGCTACAGTTTGGCCCTAGGAGGAGCTATTTGGCTATGAAGGCTGCCTGCAGCAGTCTGCCCAGCCATCTCTTTCCACCAGGAAGGCCTCTCCAGGCTCCCTGGCCTCGTCACCATTGCCTGGAACAACCTCTCGTACACCTGCAGCATAGAAAATAAATTGGAAATGAGCACATGGATTTTGTTAGTATCAAGGCACCTGTCACTGCTGTGACCAATAGGGATGAGATGAGTGAAGTCAGTAAGGAGCTAATCACAGACGGGTACGCGCCAGTGACACTGGCTCATCTTTCGAACTGATGCAGCAGAACATCATTCCCTACCTGGAGATGCAAGAGCTATGTATATACCGTTGGGCTGCGCGGCAGAAGTGGAGCACTGAATGCGGGTTTGAGCTAGGGCTGAGTTCATCTCCTGGACTAGTGGAAATAACCACCTGTGCAATATATATATACACTATCCAACCTGCACAATTCACTGTAGCTACAAAAGGTAGCGGTTGAAGGTTCGCATATTAATAGTTACAATGCGACTGAGCTGGGGTGCTGTGTCCGTATAGTACGTACCCTCATAGAGAACGCGGAGTGTTTGTGGAGACACCACACACTGTAGAGATTCCCAGCCGCAAGGACCGAGTACAGGCCTCCCCTCTTGCCTCGCTCCCTCCACAACTCTGCAAACACCCCCCCCCCACCAAACCAACACCCCACCGCAAGTAACTAACCAGGAACACCCAGACTCAGAGTATGGAATAGAACCCTGGCTCTCCCTCCCTCGCAATGAATCCATTCTGTGGGGGACAAGAGAGAGAGAAGAGAGAGAGAGTTGACAAATGAAGACACTAGAAGATCCACCTGACTGACCTTCTCCTAGAATAGCTCTTGCTCTAGTCTGTGGTGGCTCTCCACAAGAGATGCACACCAGCCACTCATACACTGTCCAGCACATCTGCAGCAATTCCAAGTCACACTCTGCGGAAGAGAAACACAAATTTCTTTGCAGGATCATTTAAAGCTTCGGGTCTTCAAATAGTCCTTGTATCCCTAGTTAAAACACTTACCGGGGGGGCCGGGGGGGGGGGGGGGGAGCCATTTTCCTCTCACTATCAGATTCACTGAGCTGCCAGATATTATGCCCTGGGCCCGGAACTGTACAGGTGGGTGCTAAGCTGCTGTTATATCCAGTTGTGGGTGAGATTAAGTTGGGTGTGGTGATTGAGGGGAGGTAAAAGTCGTCTCCGGTGGAGAACAGTCTGGGGTAGGGGGGCTGTCCGACAAAGTGTGTCCCACGGGGGTCGGGGTGGGGAGGGGTCCCGATGGAGAGCTGACAACATCCTCCTGCACAACATCAAAAAACAGACGCTAAGGGAGAGCTCAGTTTTCTCTCGTTGGGGTGGCTGCTGAGGCGGGCAGGGGGGGGGGGGTCCGGGGGGTGGGGCTGCCGGGGGGGGGAGGAGATGGGGGTCAAAATCTCAACCACCGGCCGGGGATCTTGTCATGAGGATAGAGAGTAGGTTATGGGGGGTGTGTGATTGGTCTCTGGTAGGGGAGAAATGGTTGTTGCTCGCTCGTAGTCGAGATTGGGGTCACCGTTTGTCATCCCTCAAGACCCCCAATGCTATTTACTAAACACACACACACCACACCAAGGATCTACACCCCTATACGGTAGGGGACCCACGTAACGCTACCGGACACACTATGCCCCGTACGAGGGGGAGGGTGGGCTAGGGCAGGGGGTAGAGCAGCA